ATACATTGTCACTATGTTGTCCGTAAAGACGTTGACTGTAGAGTTGCGGAGGTGTGCGCAAATGTTTGCAAGCGTTGGCAACAGCCCTCAATTCCAGGAGATTTATGTGCAGCAGAGACTCCTGTGAAGACCAACGGCCTTGGACGGATAGGTTCCCCATGTAGGCACCTCAGCCAATGAGGGAGGCATCCGTGGTCATGTGACAACGAGGGAGCGGGTGATGAAACTGAGTGCCTGAAAGTAAATTGTCGTCTACCATCCACCAGTGGAGGGAGGACCTGACGTTGAATGGAACCGTTACCCACTTGTATGCATTGGGCTTGATGGGATCGTATATTGAGATCAACCAGTGCTGCAGTGGCCGGAAGTGTAATCTGGTGTGGGGAACGACATATGTCGGGGAGGCCATATGACACATTAGCTTGAGTACTGTAATAACCTGTACTGCTCGTTTGTACAGGAGTTCTTCCAACAGGTTTTGGATTGCTTGAAATCTGGTCATGGAAAGATATGCCCTTGCTGTAACTGAATTGAGGTGCATGCCTATAAATTCTAGATTCCGAGTAGGGGTCAAGGTGGATTTCTCCTCGTTGAGGAGTCATCCTAGGACACGGAAAGTTTTGATCGTACTCAGCACCATGTCTGCAGTTTCTATCGACGAACACTCTTTTATTAGACAATCGTCCAAGTAGGGATATATGACAATGCTATTGTGTCGAAGGTAAGCAGCTATGACCGTGAATGTCTTTGTAAAGATTCTCAGTGCTGTTGCGAGGCTGAATGGCAGCACTCGATACTGAAAATGGTCTGTGGCAATTATGAAGCATAGAAATTTTCTGTGAGCGGGATGAAATGTCTGGTGGAAATAGGCATCTTTTCGGTCAAGAGCAGCAAACTAGTCGCCCTGCTCCAGAGCTGGTAGAATGGAGGTGAATGTCACCATCTTGAAGCGTTGTTTTTGAATATACTTGTTTAAATGTCAAAGATCCAATATGGATCTCCATCCGCCTTTTTTTTCTGCACCAGGAAATAGCGGGAGTAAAATCCTTTCCCCTGAAATTGAGGTGGTACATTTTCTATTACTCTTATGTGGAGGAGATGGGAAATCTCGATTCGCAATAGGTCTTCGTGCGAGGGGTCCCTGAAAAGGGACGGGAATTGTGGGGTTGTGGGTGGGCGGGAATGGAATGGAATGACATAACCCGAACGGATTATTTCTAGAATCCATTTGTCGGAAGTGACGTCTGCCCATTGGTTGTAGAAGGGCCTCAAGCGATAGTGAAAGATGTGAAGGGGGCTTGGAGAGGCTGCTCGCTCTCGACCAACACATCAAACATGCTGCTTGCTGCCGGGTTGCGTTTGGGTGAGGTTATTTTGATTTCAACGTCGCATTGACTGGGTTAAGCTAAAAGGGGTAAAAAACTGGCATTGATTCTGACATGGCTGGTCGAGCTGTCGATGTTGTGGTTGCCAGTGTTGTCTGGGGTGGAAATAATCGTAACGTCTTTGGAATGGCATATAACGTTTCCTCCTATATGGTGGAGTGTACATCCCAAGTAACCTCAATGTTGTCCTAGTATCCTTGCTAGAATGCAAGACTGAATCAGTCTTTTCAACAAATAGAACGTCTTTCTCAAAAGGCAAATCCTCCACTTTAGATTGCAGCTACTTTGGAACTGCTGCTGCCTGGAGGAATGAGGCACTACGCATAACTATCGCTGTGGCAGCAGTGTGGGCTGTGGTGTCTACCACATCCATAGCGATCTGGAGGTTGGTTCGAGTGGCAGCATAGCCCTCCTGAACCACAGATTTAAGAAGAGGCCTCTAAGATTCCGGAAGGGTCTCCATCAAAGGTGTAAGCTTTGAATAACTGTCAAAATTATGATTTGACAAATTGGCAAGGTAATTAGCAATCCTCAGAAGCAAAGCTGAGGAGGTATACACCTTCCTGCCAAATAAGTTGAGCCTCTTTGATTCCTTGTCTGATGCATTTGATTTATAGTGTGGAGCCTTGGCTCTCTGCTGAGCTGCATTGACTACGAGGGAATTGGGTTTAGGGTGGGAAAAAAGAAATTCTGACCCCTTTGGGGGTACAAAATATTTCTTATCAGCCCGCTTGTTCGTGGGGAGGACGGAGACAGGAGTCTGCCAAAGTTTGTTAGTAACCTCCAAGATAGCCTCATCCAAAGGTCTGGCTAATTTAGTAGAACGGGTAATCTGCAAATTTTTCACGAGATGGTGTTGATGCCGCGGGTGCCGGCGGAGAGCTGCCGGAATTAGCCCCAGTTACGCTGCCGGGTGCGGGAGACGGGGCGGCAATGTGTCATCAAGACGCGCCTGGGGAAACCGGGAAGGTCACCAGCGTGACGGGTAGGTGTCGGGCGGGGCACCCGGAAGCGGAGGAAGGAGCGCCGCCCGGCGTGGAGCATATAAGGGCGCCCGAGGGTGGAAGCAACGGGGAAGCAGGAAAGGTGAGAGAGCGCAAGGAAGGAAGAGACGGCGGGGGAGGTCTAGCTGCCCGACCCACACTGAGGGCTATGGGCGAAGGGTAAGAGCCCAACAGCGGGGTGGTCACGGCCCAGGGAAGGGTCACGGAGCCCGGGAGCAAGTGCGTTTAGGGGAATCCCCCCGCTTGCTACCATCGGGAGCAGAGCTCCCGGTGTTAGGGCCCTGGGCCGGGGTCCGGAGTGAGGGGGGGTCCAGACCCCCACCCCGCCCTTGGAGGGCGATAGTCGTGTGGCTGACGTCACAAGCATTGTTGTACAAAGTGAACCTGTGACAGTTGGTCTGTAAATTTTTTAGGAGATGAGATTGCTTGTCTTTAATTTCAGTCAGCTGGATTTCCTGAGACACTGCCACTCTCTTAAACAAATCTTGGAACTGTTTCAAGTCATCTGATGGGGAGACATCTCCAGGGGTGACTGCTTCATCTGGGGAGGAGGACTGATCTATAGGGGAGACTTTAGGATTATGTGACTCAGTAGTGGTCAGAGGTTATTGTTCTTGAACCGTAGGAGGTGAATGATGAGGCGATGAGCCTTGACCAATGGGTGGAGGGATGGAAAGTGGGCAGTGTCTGGAAGAGAAGTAGATCGTCATTGAATGAGGCGGGGATCTGGGTGAATAGTGATAATGCCGGCAATGTGGTGAGTATTCCCTATGGTAACGGGAATCATCATATCGATTGCGGTTATAGTAGGATGAGCGTGAAGGAGAGTGTCCATAACAGTGGTGTCCAGTATACTTGTGCCGCGAGGATGATCTTCTAGATCGGAGGGATGGGGAAGGAGAGTAGGATCTTGTCCTGGATGGAGATGGGGAGGCAGAGAAATGGTGAGAGTAGACTCGGGTATCCCTAGGAGGTGTCAGGAAGGGAGATGGGAGTCTATCAGGACAGGAGTAACTCCTGGAGAGCCATGGTGACCTCCTGCTTGATGGTGGAGGTGGAGATAGTGATGGAGCTGGAGAAAAAACAGGTACCACCGAGGTTGGCACTGAGTGATGATGTACTGCACCAGAGTCATGGTGGGTGCATGCCGATGGTGATGCCGAGCGTACCCTTGGTGAGGCCGGTGCCAAGCGGTCATGGACCGATACCGAGGGCTCACGTGATGGTGACAGTGGTCGAGTCCTGGATTCGGTCGGTACCGAGCTATCGTGCCTGTAACAGTGCCGACTGTGCCTGCAGTTCCGTCGATAGAGACGGCGCTGATGACTTCGGTGCCAAGAGCGCCGGTTCCGCCATCAGAGAACTTGTGTCCACGTAGCGCAAAACACCAGGCAGAGTCTGAGATAGATTAGAGAGTGAACAGGTGGTTAAAAAAGAAGTGCCAGACTTAGACCCAGAGGTAGTTCTGCCGTGAGGAGTCAAAGGCAGCGATCTACTTGGGGAGGGCCTGGGCCTCTTATGAGGAGCTCTAGAGGGGGAAGAAGTGCTCCGTTTTTGAGGCTGTTGAGCGGCCCGAGGTGGAGAGGCTGAGCCAGTGGTTGGAGCACCTTATCAAAGAGTATCATACGGAGCCTCATCTTGCGGTCATGGCAGGCTCTGGCTGTAAGTTTTGAGCAATGTACGCACTCTCGCCAAGGCAGTGGATGCGTGGCCATCAGAGGAGCATTTCTTAAATCTGGGAGAGCCTGGCATTTTCTATTTCAATGTTGTTCTCTTCCCTCCCCACCCCCCCCCTTTTTTTTTAAAACTATGTACAAGATTCTAAAGTTCAACAAGGGAGGGGGGGAGGAACGAGAACTAAACAGTCTATGATAACAGGACATTTTTTTTTTGTAAAAGGAACGTGAATGAGTATAAGAAATATAAAGAGTAGAAAAACTGAGGAAAAATAATTTGTTTTATCTCACAAAGGTTAAACAAGGGTTGAGAAAGAAGGAGAGACAATTTGCTCCATCTGCAGCCTGAGGCAATTGAGAGGAACTGGATTAGACCGGATCGCGCAGCGCGGCAGAGCGCGAATACCGCGAGGCACCTCCTCCCCACACATGTGCGGTCCAACTGACTACAGCTTTGAACTTCTCCATCCTGCGGCACCGGGGTAAGCCCAGCACCTAGTGTGGAGCACCTACAGGGACATCACTTGAAGAAGAATTGATGGTATTCTGAAATAACATACTGCTCATCCACACTACAAGCCTTTATTTCAAAATAATGTCAAGCTGGAGGACTTCTTACTTCAACTGATGGTAACCCTCATTTCACGAGGCGTAAGGGAAGTCGAAGGAAGAGTGCTCTTCCTTTGACTTCCTGCTGTGTAGATAGAGCCAAAAACTGAATTAAGCTATTTCAACATAAGCTACGCAACTGACGTAGCTTAAGTGGCACAGATTTACTCAAGTTTGGCCCTGCTGTGTAGACGTACCCTAAAATGCCACAGGACTACTCTTTTTTTAAAAAAACTTTTAAGTTATGGACTAACACGGCTACCCTTCTGAGACTAATTTCTTCCTGAAATACCATCTGTGTGTGTGTTTGGGGTCCATTCACTTACAGTTATCAGCAATGCAAGCATCCAGAGTCTTTGTTACTACTACTGCAAGTTTTGCGCTTGAGTAACTTCCAGTTGAATCACGGACCAGCTTGATAAGCACTTCAGCTAATATGTCTAATCCACCAACAGAAATAAAGTATGCCTGTACACGTGCTTAAGAAAAAAAACTGAATTGCAACATTTATAACTGTATTAACTAAAACAATATTAATAAAGTAAGATGGTAATGATTTTTGTGTGTATGCTAATTTCTTGCTATCTAATGCAATTCCAATTCCATCAATACTACATAATCAAAATTGGAAATATATTTCTGAGAGATTCAGAATTTTTTTTTCAACAAGAATCACAGAAAAAATATACATGCATAAAACAATGTGCAAACAGCAAACAATGTACTTGTGTTCTGCTTGATTTCATTTAGTTATAAATATTATTTTCTGTATTGTAATAATGATGAAATTACTATTGATATTAATGGGTAACCAGTTAAACAGTTAACCAGTAAGCATCACGCTTAAAGGGTGATGCTTACTGGGTAATGTTTGACCAGTAGCCAGAAGCAGCCCCCTGCCCACAGCCCAGCCTTGGGCAGAGGGCTGCTCCAGCCCCGACAGGCCCCCATGCAGGGCTGTTGGCTCCCAGCACACATAAAGACCGGGAGCTGTGGTGAAATCAACAGTCTCCCTGTGGGGACCTGGAGCAGCTAGGTGGGGACCACTCCAACTGAATCCCGGCAGGGGGAGCACTCCAGTTCCACTGATCAGCCTCCTTGCCCATACCCACCCCCCAAACTGCTACTACTATGGCAAGCACCTTTGAGAATATCCTCAGTGCAGGCAAAGAATTCAAAAGGAAGGACTCTATACAAGTACAGCCTCTTCCCAACTTACAAACTGGTTACGGACCAAACAATTGGTCATAACTCGGTTTGTTCGTAAGTCAGACCCCATAGAGTTACACGTGACCATGCTGTTCGTAAGAATGGATCGCGTTTGTAACTCGGAGTCTGCCATTTACAACAGCTTTGGTCATAACTGCAAACGGTTGTAAGTCGACCATTCGCAACTTGGGAACCAGCTCTAATGTTGTAGGGACGCCCACCATAAAGGGCAGAAATTTCCTGAAAGCCAGGTGGATGACTGAAGAAATGAGCCATGCCAACGAAAGCTCATGATACCATCTACGTTTTGTTAGTCTATAAAGTGCTACCAGACTATTTGTTGTTTTTTAAGTTTATCCTGTACAGGCTAACTTGGCTACCCCCTGAAGCTAATTAAAACTAGATATCCTTCAAATCGAACGCTGCAAACCAATTGCCTTAATTGATGAGGCAATGTATCCCAAAGAGCACTCTAATGCCAGGTGGCACTGTAGTCATATTAACCCAGAAGATGGTATGTAATATATCAATAGAAAACTAATAATTTATATTCTTAGGTGATATATGTACATAAATTATTGGAAGTAGGAAAAAAAGAAGGAAATATTTGAAGCTCACAACACAGTGAATGGTATGCCATGTATTGCTTAATTGTATCAAACAAATAAAATGTGGCCAAAGAAGCAATAGATACCGATGCAAAAAATGGAAGATTAATAAATTAGTGCTGAAAGACTTTGTTCCAAAGTAGAACACTTATGGTCTGCTGGACAGAGGCTAAAGGAATGCACTGAAACAGAAAAGGATAGTGACACAAAACTGCTAGGCTATGTCTACACTCGCAGCTTCTTGCGTGAGTAATATGCAAATGAGGCTAAGTGTGGAATATTGCAAAGCCTCATTTGCATACCTAATGAGCCACCATTTTTTTCAGAAGAGGCTCTTGCGCAAGAAGGAGTGTCTACACTGCCCCTTCTTGCGCAAGAAAAACCCTCTTGCGCAATGCTGTTCTTCCTGAAAAATAATAGGTGTAACGACATTGCACAAGAGAGTTTTTCTTGCACAAGAAGGAGCAGTGTAGCCGCTCCTTCTTGCGCAACAGCTCTTCTGAAAAAAAATTAGGTATGCAAATGAGGCTCAGCGATATTCCACGCTTAGCCTCATTTGCATATTACTCACGCCAGAAGCCGCGAATGTTGACATAGCCCTAGTGGATACAGCTGGTATACCATCAGTTTGTATACACCTTATACAATTTAAAATAAACTCTCTTTACCTATATTAACTAACTTCTATTTAACAATAAAATAACTGATTAGATCATAGAAAAGCATTTTGGAAATGTACATGAAAAAATATCATAAGGGACTGGGCACCTTAACAGTATCTATGATGATTGTTCTGATGCCATGTTCTCTTGTGGTATAACCAAGTAGCGGCAATAGACAAAGAAACGACAGAATAATTTCAAAAAAGCTCTCTCAAGGCAAAGCTGCTTTTCTAAGAGAACTGCATCCACTTATCACAGGAAAGAGAAAACAAATTTCTCATCATGCTTAAACTGAAGTTTAGTTTAAAACAAAGAGCCTGATTCACTGTTGCTCTGCACCTTGCTTAGTCACTTACCCAATACAAAGTGACCACACCGATCTGGCAGCATTTCTACACAGTCCGCACACTTATTAGAAAAATGACTAAACAGAGTCTACAGCAATAATTCCTTGCATGCAAAGTTTTTAATTACAGTTGGTATTTCTAAGATTACTACTGACATTAACCATCTTACTGAAAATTCCAGAGAGGTTTCATAAGAGAGATATACACACAGAGACATTTTTGTAAATCAGACAACACTAAGCAAAATGATTCATGACTAGCTGTCCGCCTGCATTCTACACTCCTATACCAGCAGAATGGCTCCAATAGAGCTGATCTACCAGAACCTGTATTATTTTTTCCTAGGCATCTCCATGAGACCAATAGGGGCATGATGTCAATGTTTTCTCCTGCCCCTTGCTCCCCCTATCTCTTCACCCAGTGTAGACCGAGGACCTGCAAGTGTCCTCACTGAGGTCTGGAGGAGAAGAGACAATGACACAGACACAGCTGATCCCTTCCTTCTACAAAGAAGGTGGAAGATCAACGAATGAATCCGGGGAGGTAAGGAAATTTAAAATTTAATTATAGTTTCCAATGAAATTTAGTTCCATGAAATCTAAATTGTTGAGAGGATGACATATACTTACAATTATTAGCAACCGTGAGTCCAACAAATGAACAAATAGGACGAACTATCTCAGGTTTTATGCAACTTTGGAGCCAGTCTTTAGCATGTGGAAAAACTGAAGAGCAAGTGTTTTGATTGTCTTCTGTAAAGATGTGAAACCAATAACAACAAAAGTCTAAATGTAATAAATAATTACATTTATATACACACTAGAAAATGAAAGCACAATGTTACTTTTTAAAAGTGTTCTTTTTATATTCACTTTCATATGTTATACAATTATTTAATAATAGTTACCATTTTGAGGATTATTAACACATGCACACAGAGTACTGCAGACTGAAGACCACAGCTGAAAATTGTGATTAATATTTTCATCTGACAGATTAATCTCAGATATTGAAAGAGTTGTTCTGTTAAGAAAAAGGCAAACATTATGGCAAAGATGACTTAGAACCTAAATAGTCTGGGTACTTTATATCTTAACAGAAACTCTGTTTATTTACCTGAACAACTGTAGAAGAATGCCAATGCAGCCTGTTTCTCTGATGTGAGTTTGCCCACTTTCTATAAATGACCATATGCCAGTATTGCGAGAGATAATACATAATTTTAAATAAAGTATTAATACTTTAAATGTAACTTAGTTGTTTTACTTCAGCTCCTATAGCATACCATGTACAAATAAACAATGTGTTGTGTACTTATATCCTCAACTGTACAGCAATAAAATTTACTAACAATGATCATCTATTTTTTATAAACTACAAATAATTTCTACGTTAATTATTACTTTGTGTTTTAAACCATAAGTTTGGACAGAGCCTAGACATATGGGACACTTTGGGTGCTACTGTAATACAAATAATACTTAATAATGACCAATTTATATGTCTCAATAGCTCTACCAAATGTGAAAAACCATCATTTTGCATTATATTTTGTTAAAAACTACATGTACGTTTCTTACACAAATAAGATAAAGTACTTTCAGCTATTTAAAAAAAATCTTCTAATGTTTAATCTACTTGGATTGCTTTTAGGTGACCTCAAATTCAATTACATGTCACAATGAAACATTGAAGTGATAATAAATAGCAAGGGCTGACAAACAGCAGCACGTTATAAAACAAGTTACATGGCATTAATAATTTTTGGTATTTTTACATGTGAATGCAAAATACTTACTGTTATTTGAAACAAGTACTAATATAACATAAATAGACATTCTTTTCAAATTCACACTAGAATCCTTATTAGTTAAGAAGAAAATGAGGTCTTCAAACAATTCAGATGTACACAAAGTTTGCTGACAGTAAACTGAAACCAGAAAATGAATTATATTAATTTCTAGTAAGTCTTTTGCGACCGTCGTTTATTTAGGTAATAAAATATAGAAATTACAGTCTTATAAAAAGATCTGGCCTAAAATAAACGCTGACCTATACTGAACTTCTGTTGAGAGAAAAACAATTTTCACGACTGAATCAGATACTAAAATGTAAGTATGTCATAACATTACTTATTTGTAAGACATACTACCTCTCCTCCCTCCTCCCAATCAACATATCTGAGAACTAGGCTGAAAAGCCTTTTTACTTGTCCAGAGATGTAACTGACAACAACCTTTCCACCAATCAACAATCTGTTACACAAACTAACCATAATTGGATCATTTTATGGAACAAAGTATCAGGTCTACTTGAAAATTCCCATTCCAATTTCTCTACTCATAACATGGCACTAATTTACATGTTTTGGGATAATCTGTTTCAAGACATGAGTTTCTAATTCCTATCTTATGTAGCAAAAGTTTAACAGTTACTGGTGGAGTGCAGTTTCTAGCCTCACTGTGAAGAGTTAATACTGAAATCCACTTATCAGTAACTTTCAATGTAACTCGATAATGTAACATGCAGGACTTTGGCTAGATCATCAGTTGTGTCCAGTGTATCTAGGCACAGATAAGGAAATTGAGCTGCAAAAAACCTATTTGCTGCTTCCTGATCCAGTTCTGGGACATTCTGGGCAAAGATATGATACAGAGCAATCTCAGATCATCATGCTAGTGGGGAATTGAAGAAGTGCATCACTCTACTTTTGCCCACCCATGACCTCTATATCAAGGCCTATAAGAGGAGGCTGGTGACATAGTGCCTATTTCCCCAAATCAGAGGACTTCTCAGATAGCCATTTAAGATGGTTTTATGGCCACTTTGAGCTTCCAGAATGGAATAGATATGGAACAAGAGAGCCAAAAATTTGATCCCATTAGTCAGGATGGTCTCCACTGTAACCTGGTAAACAAATATAACTAAAGATACATTAAATCACTGGCCGATGTATCAAGTACAGCAAGAAGAGGAAATATTCAGTTTTCAGGAACAATAAAGTACAGTCATCTAGAAAATGGAAAAATAAATAAAATTATACATTACCACTACTCTCCATTACAACTGCTAATGTAAATAAGGCTGCTTCCTTTACTATGCAGTGAACACTTGACTTTGCAAGGTCATTTACAAATATCAAACCACCAATCTCCCGGAAATAATCACTTGCATCACCTGTTGAATATGTAGAAAAAATGAAAAAAAAGGGAAATTTATTATAGATACTAATTTGGGAATCCAAAAATAAATCAGAGCAGTCTGGAATACATAATGTTTGCAACATGTTATACCTCTACAGAGTCTTATGACTCCTAGACATTATATTAAAAATTGACAATATTTGGTATGTAGGATGAAAAATGATTCTACTATTGCCATATTTAAATAACACAGAAAGGAAACAACAAATGCCCCTGTTGAAATATGATAGAATAATTCTTACTGTTGTGTTGGCAGATTGAATAAATAGTGACCAAGGCTTCTTTCTGAGAAGCAGGGTTGTCCATTTGGTATTTAAGACATTCAAGCAGTAAGTTCAGATCTGTCTTCATTTCTGAGGAAAAAATCATTTTATAAGAATTTCACATGAAATACTTATGTTTTCTTTGAAATTCACCTTTTAATTGATGATTAATTTTATATTAAGACTGTCATGAAATCATGACACTATCTTCTATTTTGACAAGAAAAAAATAATGTAAAGCCGAATCTTTTTTCCTACTGCAAATCAGCACACAGTCAAGGGCCACGTCTACACAGCTTTCAGCTTCTGCAAAAGCCTATGCAAATTAAGCACAGATTAGCATATTGCCATGCTTCATTTGCATAATTAATTAGGAGCTGTTTTTGCACAAAAAGGCATCATCTACACAGCGCCTTTTTGTGCAAAAATGCCCTTGCACAAAAATGGCTCCTAATTAATTATGCAAATGAAGCATGGCAATATGCTAATCCACATTTCATTTGCATAGGCTTTTAAGATTGGACTTACTTTGGAGACATGTAGCTGCATTGAGTGAAACATTATTTTTATATTTGACAAATTCTTTTCGAATGAATGCAGTGTGCCTTTCAAGCCCACCAGCAGCATAAGAAAGATTGTGGACATTCTTTGACCCAGTGTTCAGTAGTTATTGCATGATACTGCTTTTAACCACACAACTAGATGTCCAGATAGTTGCAACACACTAGGAAGTTGATAATGGAGTTAATGATTTTTAAGGACCTGTTCCTCCTCCTCTTCTGGATTGGGGAGTGCAGCACTATTCTTAAAGAAGGCTACAGACAAAACTCCACCACACTCAGGGTGTGTCTAGACTACAGGGTTTTGTCGACAAAGCTATACCTGCATCTACACTACCGCCGCGTTCTGTCGATAGTACGTCAACAGAATGTGGCAGTTTTGTTGACGGTGGTAAACCTCATTCTACAAGGAATAACGCCTTTTTTCGATAGTACTCTGTTGAAAAAAGGGGCTACTGCATGCAAACTGTGCTTTTTCAAAAGAGAGTGTCTAGACTCTGTCAAAAAAGTGGCTTGCTTTGTCGACAGTACTGGTTGTAGTCTAGACGCTCTATTTCAACAGAGGCTTTGTCAACAGTATCTGTTGACAAAGCCTCTGTCGAAAAAAGCCTGTAGTCTAGACGTACTCTCACTCAGCCTACATAAAGTTTGTGACTAAGGACCAATGTTTCCTCTAATCTTTTCTATTCATGGGTGGACTTTTCCATCCATTTGTAGATGAAATTTTATTATACACTGAGTCATATGCAAATGTGCACCCCCAAGAGAAACGCAAACTGGACTGTGAGTGCTCTGCTAATCAGATGGACAGCACTGAAATCTCTCCTGAGCGGCCATGTAAGTGCACAGCTTAAAGGGAACATTGCCAGAGAATCTTACCAGAATTGTCTGCCTGTCCCTGCCACTACATACCCATTTCAAAGATCAGAATTTAGAAGACTATTGGATTATAATATTAAATCATATCAATTGCTCAGTCTAAAATCTAGATCATGACAATGTACACTATAAATCGGAATCACAGAACTGGAAGGAAGCTTGAGAGATCATCAATTGGAAAAAGTCCCCCAACACTTCTGGCAGGACCAAGCACCATCTAGACCATCCTAAACAGGTGTTTGTCTAACCTGCTCTTAAAAATCTCCAATGATGCAGATTCCACAATGTCACTAGACCATTTATTCCAGTGCTTACCATCCTGACAGGAAGTTTTCCTAATGTCAAACTTTAAACCTCCCTTGCTGCCCATTTGCCATTGTTTCTTGTCTTATTATCAGAGGTTAAAGAGAATAATTTTTCTCCCTCTTCCTTGTAACAACCTTGTAGGCACTTGAAAGTTACCATGTCTCCTATCAGTCTTCTCTTTTCCAGACTAAACAAACTCAACTTTTTCAATCTTCTCTCATAGATCATGTTTTCTAGACTTTTAATCATTTTTGTTGCTTTTCTCAGGACCTTCTCCAATTTGTTCACATCTTTTCTGAAATTTGGCACCCAGAACTGGACACAATACCCCAGTTGAGGCCTAACCAATGCAGAGTACAACAAAAAAATTACTTCTCATGCCCTGCTTACAACGATATTTGGGTTTTGTGCAACAGTGTTATATTGTTCACTAGTATTTAACTTGTGGTCCACTATGACTTGTATAGCCTTTTCCACAGTACTTCTTCCTAGGCAGGGGAGCCGACAGAACTGCTGGACCCCTGAGCCAGGTGGGACGGAAAGGAAGCTCTGTGCACCTGAGAGTGGCAGAGCCTCTGGCAGAAGGAGCATAGGTAGGGGCTAGCTGCCCTCTGCCAGCTCTTCAGTGCTGCCCATGGCTTCAGCCACAATTTAAAGGACCCAGGGCTCCAGCCCTGCCAGTGGCCTTAGTAGTGGTGGCAGCAGCCAGGCCCTGGGGCAGTTGCTCCCTTTGCTGATGGAGTTATACTGGCCCAGCCAGGAGAGTGAGCCCCACTCTGACAGCCCAGCTGGGCATGCGCCAACTGGAGACTGACTATAAAAGCCTCTGGAACAGCTCAGTCAGGGCTGACTGCTGAAGAGGAAGGAGGTTTTGAGGGAGTACCAGAGGAGGAAGTGAAGCCAGACCAAGGAGCAGCAGCCGGGTTGAGAGTGGCTATCAGAGAGGCTGCAGATTGAGAGTGAGCATATAGAGAAACATCTACCAGGCATGGGTAGGAAGTAGCCCAGGGTGGGGAATTATTCTCTAAGGGTATGGGTACACTGCATTCCTCTTTTGAGAGAGGAATACAAATGCAGCTGAGCGAAATTGCAAATGAAGCGCGGATTTGTATTTCCCATGCTTCATTTGCATAATCGTGTCCACGCGCTATTTCGAAATACCCTATTTCGAAAAAAGAAACGCTGTCTAGACGCAGTTATTTCAAAAGAAAACCCTTCTCTCGAAATTACCCTTAAACCTTTTTTTGAAAAAAACTTCGGCTGCGTCTAGACTGCTGCCGCGTTCTTTCCAAAGTAAATCGAAAGTAAAACCTAGTTTTATGAGGAATAACGCCTTTTTTCCAAACTGTTTTCTTTAAAAAAAAAAGGCGCTATGTAATGCAAACTGTGCTTTTTCGAAAGAGAGCATCCAGACTGCCTGGGTGCTCTCTTTTGAAAGAGCGACTTGCTTTTTCAAAAGTACTGATTGTAGTCTAGACACTCTTTTTCAAGAGAGGCTTTTTTATTGCAAATGAAGCGCAGATTTGTATCTTTTGAAAAAGCCTCTTTCGAAAGAGGCTTGCAGTCTAGACGTAGCCCTTTTAAGGAGTAAGGGTAATTTCAAAAGAAGGGTTTTCTTTCGAAATAACCGCGTCTAAACAGCATTTCTTTTTTCGAAATAGGGTATTTCGGAATAGCATCCAGACACAATTATGTAAATGAAGCGTGGGAAATTCAAATCCGCGCTTCACTTGCAATTTCGTTCATCTGCATTTGCATTCCTCGCTCGAAAAATGAATGCAGTGTAGACATACCCTGAGTGCTCAGAGTACTGTGACAGGCTTCCCTGTTGAGCGAGCAGTATACTGTGCCACTGCTAATAGGACCTAAAGTGCATATAGGTGCACAGTGTTGTTTTCAAAGTGCCTATGCATCTAACTCCCATACGTGTTAAATGCTTAGGTATTTTTAAAAATTCCATTAGGCATATATCTGCGTCTTTAGATGCCTAAATACCTTTGAAAATATGGCCTTTAGAGTGCTATCAAGGAGACTTCATTAATTATTTTACCACTTCTGTTCATAGCATAGTTTATTCTTAAAACTCACTATACATTGGTGACTTCACAGGAATGTAAATTGTGAAATCAAACAGAGAAATATAGAAACAAAAATTATCAAAACAATTTTAATTCGCTTTGTTTTGTATCTTCTTCATAACATATAATCCAGGGATGGGCAATAATTTTGCAGAGGGGCCACTTCACACATTTTGGCAATGGTTGTGGGCTTCCTTCTTGGAAGGGGTGCAGCCTCAGGCAGAAGGGAGCTGTTCCCTCTAGGCCCAGCCTGCCCCGTCAGGGAAAAGAGACTTTTCTTGCTCCCCCTGCCCTCAGGCCAATCAAGTCCCAGGGAGCATGCAAAGTCTCTCCCTTCCCCTCCCTTATCAGAGGCATACAGTGCACAGAGGGAACCACCAGCCATTTTGAACAGCTGGCAGTTCCCTCTAGGTGCTGCACACCTCGGGCAAAGGGAGCAGACTTTGTGCACTTCCCTACCCCCAGGCCAGTTGGGCTGGGGGCAGAGGAGTGTGCAAAGTCATTTGTTCAAAACAGCTGGTGGTTTTTTCTAGGCTCCTTCCTAGCTGGGGAAGGGAGACGCCAGCTACTTTGAATAGCAGATGACTTTGTGTATTCCCCTATCTCCAGGTCTCAATTGGCTTGGGGGCTGCAGGAAGGCCACCATCCAGATTAAATGGCTTGGCGGGCCAGATCTGGCCCACGGACCGTATCTTGCCAACCCCGATATAATCCAAATACATTAATATAGTAACAAGTCATGAGCATATTCATCTAACAATCACCCATCCTCACAGTAGCCCAGCTATCATGAGAGCCTAGTAAAACAGTAAAAAACAGATTCAGATATGAGAGGTGATTCTTGAGATCTTACCACACTGTGTGTTCTGTTCTTCTGGATTTTCCATTTTCAACTGTATTCCTGATCTTACCCTGCAACTGTAAGAAAAGGCACTCTCTCAAAATTTAGATCACAAATGTTCACAAAAAGTGTACACACAATATAAGACCACCACACCAACTTTCTTAAAGCATCAGGGCTGGCCTTACCATAAGGCAAACTGAGGCGGCCGCCTCAGGTGCCAGACTGTGTGGGGGAAGGGGGCGCCACTAGGACCCAAAGTATAGAAAATTGTGTCTGCTGTTGGTGCATATGTATTCTCTCTGCTCTAGATGCACAGAAATGGTGGAGTGCTGTGCTGGAGGAAGGAGGGCACAAGAGACACAACAGGCAAGCAGGAGAAAAGGTGGCATGGGGGCGACATTTGAGCTCCCCGCCTCAGGTGCCAAAATGTTGTGGACCAGCCCTATAAAGCATTCTCCCTCCTCTTCTAGTTATTTGATTTTTAAACTAAACTAAGGCAATATGACATACACCAAATCAATGTCAGTAAGAATGAAAAAGCTTCCCTTTGAAAAGGTATCATTATAAGGTAATATGCTACTGCTATTACAAGGGTTTTTATCCAATGTCATTTTGTAGACAAAGTAATTTGGTTGTCCCATTTTAATGCATGTAAAGATTAAAACTCCCAGCTTCACACATTTTTAATCTTGATTATGTTATTTATCTCAAAAATCTTCCCCACTTTGTTCTCCTATGTCTAGCTGCCAACTTAAATTGCTTTCTGATTATACTGAATGATTTGCCAATTTAAAAACTAGTATTTCAAGTTTTCAAAGAAAATCAACAACCTTCTAGCACGAACACCACAAATGAGAAGTAACCAAACCTTGTACTGCATGCAATTATGACTGTTTAATAACCAGTATGGATTAAAAACACACTTGATACAACATGGACTGCAGAGACAATTGATAATTCTAGTCCATTTAATTAAGATTTTAATATTTAATTGATTAGCAAAATTAACATATTTTACATACAATCAGAAAAATCCACAATTTCAATTCTAAAAACACACGTAAGAATCCAAATCCTTTGGTCTGAGAGAGTGAAACTCAAAGGAGTGGGGAGCACAAAAGTAGCTTAAAGCCATAGCTCCAGTTCCCAAATGCTTGGGACAGTCTACATCAGTCCAGATCTCTGCAAGCAAATTTAAAGCAGCCTGAGGGGTGCTATAAATTATATTGACTGTTCATAGCTCCCAGGAGACTGATCCAACAAATAAGTATTCCTGGTGTACAGACATGACCCAACTGTATTTCCTTTTCCCTGGACATTCCAAATGTGCCAAAGGTCAAAGGCAGGCCTTAAGACACTATGGTATCCATAGACATTGACTTCTCATCTTGTGAAGGAGTGTTCATTCCTCCCATTGGTTCCAGGGCTCACCCCCATTTCCTGCCCCAGCTCCAGCCCGACCCCACCTCTTCCCCTGAAGGCATCCCATCCCCACTCCTCCTCCTCCCTTGCCAAACTTGAACACTGTTAATTAGATGATCATGGTACACCCTGAAATTCTGGGAGGAACAGGGAGAAGTTGGTAAGCATGGGGTGGCTGGTACACAAGAGGCATGGAGAGAAGGGGGCAAAAGGAGGAGCCAAGTACCTCTAAATAACCATAAAAGTGACTTAACCAACCCTACTGAAATTCCCATACTGAGCTGGTAAATCTTTAAGAGGCTTAAAGATGCCGTCATAGGCACCAACTATTTTTTCCTTAATTTTGCTTTATACTGCAGAGCTTGATGTATCAGAGGGCAACAGCACATGGCAGCAGCCGGTGTGTCATAAGCCAGGTTTTTTTAAAGCTGGCTTATTGTGCACACCAGTTCTGTCCTTCTGGCTTCCGGATTAGGAAAGTGGGATAAGGGACCCTCTGGGGAGCTGGCTGTCACCCTGTACCGAAGACTGTGATACAAAGTCTGTAGCACGGGGTAGCACCTGGGAACCCAGAAGTGGGGCCAGGAGCTGATGTGTAACCATTATGGTAACAAATAAGATCATGGTTATTGCTTAACAGTTTAGTTACATTGTTACATCCCTAAAATTAAGGGAGTCTCATGGTTATTGCTTAACAGTTTAAATAGTTACATTGTTACATCCCTAAAATTAAGGGAGTTGGCTTAGTCAGTTTTCTGGTTGCAAGAATTCTTGATCTCCTTTATTCACTGACTCAGGTCACAGAATGGCTCATGTAAAGGATATTCCGGGTCCCCTCAGTTCTATCGACCACACCAATGACTTGAAAGAGAGAGGTTGAGTTTTTTTAAGCAGGTGCTACTTCGATTCTCATCCTATTTTTATTGTTAAATACACACACGCTCTCTCTTTCTCTCCTGATCTTCTGCTGATGACAGAACACTCTGTAGCATCCCAGTGTCCTGCTTTCTAGAGGCTATAGTGTGAGGCTGATAGAATACCAGATCAGCTTCCCATATTGTTTGTTTATTTTACAAAGGACTGACCTTTATCATCTTGAAGCTGCATGTACCCTTTTCAGTTCAGCTGAAGTAATTTTTCAAAAAAATATTCATTATTACAAACATGAGTTTTTGATAATGTGCATTGCTAACATTCAAGTTTTGAAAACTTTAGAGATCATATTCTATTTTAATACTTTTTATATGGACTGTTTAGGAGGGACTGTACATAAAATACCATTTTATAAACTTCCTATTGTTATTTCTCAATAGAGCTACTTCATTGTCCAGGTTCAACTTGTCTAGTCCAGCACTCTTGGGACCTGAGCAGTGCTGAACCAGAAAATCTGCAGGACCACACCAGAACCATGAAATTTGGTATGCAGCTTCCTCTTATAACTTAAAGCAAAGTGAAACCCTTCTGGGACTGCCCAAGCCTCCCACCCTCCAGGTGTCCTTTATAGAGGAGGGAGTCTAAAGCATCCCCACATTCGTGTGGGAAAATTGCTTGCTGTTCCTTCGTTAGAGTGTGCATTCCTCACTCTGGCTGGGGAGTGGAGGCGAGAGGAGGGGCAGAGGAACCTGGAATATGCACTCCTCCCCCAACTATGCCCTCTAGAGTAGCAGTGGCCATGGAGAGGGGCTTCTCACCTGGCCCCAAGCTGCTGTGTTAAGAGAGGGCTGGGATAGTAATCTCTCCCTGGGGAAGCCTGTACATTGAACCACTCACGCTCAGCCCCACCCCAGAGCAATGAGTTAAATGAAGCATCTACATTTTCATTTTATTTTCCAAAAAACAAAAACTGAGTGAGAGACCCGAGCAAGGCCGGGTATGTCTTCTAGTTTCAAATATAGTAGAATGTTATCATTCAATGATTACAACGGTGAATACATACAACTCTGAGAATGGTTAGCATTTCTGATCCCCAAGTCTGTCACTTGTCTTCACTCCATCTCCACATGCCCTTCCCACGGGCTCATGTATGTTAATGATTTTAGTGGGAGCACATGCAACAATTCATTCAGGATCGGGCACTGAAAACACAAACTATTGGTCCACTCTACAGCACCCCAAAGGCAAGACTTTTAGAGTCCTATACTAGACAGAGATCAAGCTGCAACTCAAATGCTTTCCCACCCACGCTACTGGGACATGATACTCACTCAGACTGTTTGAGCTTTCAGGGCACTCCTGTCTTCTGAATAATCAGAAGGCTTGCAGACATGAACATAAGAATGGCCATACTGGGTCGAAACAATATTGCATCTAGCCCAGTATCTTTTTTTCTGACAGTGGTTAATGGCAGGTGCATCAAAAGAAATGAACAGAACACGTAATCATAAAATAGTCCATTCCCAGTCACTCATTACTAGCTTCTAGCAAACAGAGAATAAGGGCACTTCAGAGTGAGCTTGGTTTTGCATCCCTTCCCCTCTTCAGAGCCACTAATGGACCTCTCCTCCATGAACGTATCTTGTTCTTTTTTGAACCCTGTTAGTGTTTTGGATTTCACAACATCCTCTGACAGAGAGTTCCACAGATTAACCATGTGCTGTGTGAAGAAATACTTCCCTTTTGTTAGTTTCATATCTGCTGTTCATTAATGTAATTTGGACATCTAGTTCCTGTGTTATTTACTTTGTCTGATAACACTTCATTATCTATTTTCGCAACATCTAGATTTTATGGATATCATAGGCTCCTTAGTCCTCTCTTCCCCCCACCCAGTTTTACTAATCTCTCTTTATACCCCTAATAATTTTTATTGCCCTTCGCGGTATTTCAGTGTTGGGCAACCTGCAGCCCATAGGCTGTAGGCAGTCCATTGGGAGTCTGTGTGGCCCACTTGACATTTTGCTTTCTGCTGCCCACATGCATGTTTGGCAGTTTCCGCTGGTTTCCATCCATGTAGGTTTTTTTCCTGTCAATATTACTAAAGTAACCCAGAAACGAAATGAGGTGCCTGCTGACTGCACACCACATGGTTTGTGAAAGCTGTGTGCTACCTGAGCATGAAAGCAAAGCTCTGTTACAGTTCTATCAGCACAACTGCAAATTCTAGTTATACAAGCACAGGTAGCAAAACTACCATATCCTGGAAAACTTGAGCAGCCGCCCACGCTAGTCTATTGCTGCTGCATGTAGGCGTGCGCACGGGGTGTGCCCAGGCACACCATAATGTCTCGGGACGGCTAGCGGCTGCTGGAAGAAGAGAGGGATTTGTGACAGGGCACCGCAGGCCTTCACTTTAAATTCCGTGCGGCCATCAACAGGGCACTGTGGGGCAGAGAGCGCATGCGTGGCGTGCTCAAACGCCGCACAAGCGGTGAGACGCCCGGGCGTAGCGCGACGTCATGGCCCCGGACGTTCAAACCACACAGCCCAGCTCCAAAAAGAGCTGGGGCCTGACTACAAACGCTGGCCGGCCCGAGCCATTTTTGCACCCCGGGCCCGGCAGCACCCCCCTTTGTGCACCCGGGGGCACCCCCGCCCAGCCCAGCAGCACCGCACTGCCCCCGAAGCACCTCGGCCTGGCAGCATTGCGCGGTGCCCCAGAGACGCCCCTGCCCAGCCCGGCAGCACCGTGTGGCCCCCCCGAGGAACCCCAGGGACGCCCCCACCCAGCCCAGCAGCACCGCACCGCGCCCCGGGGGCGCCCAGTTAGGGTCTGGCTGGCCTAGAGCTTGGGCCAGCTCTGACTCCAACCCAGGAATCAGAAGCCGAAGGTAAAGGAGGGAAGGGGAAGAGAAAGGGGGGAAAATAAGAGGAAGGGATGGGAGAGAAAGGGGCTTGTGCTGAGGGGAGGGAGGCAAGTCAGGAGAAGAAAGGGGTGTCATGATTATGAGGGTTAGCCAGCAGCCTGGGGATTAAGGGGTTAACTACACCTAGCCAGGTGGAGTGACCAATAGGAATGTAGGTGGGATTTTTCAAACTGGGACAAAGGAATTTGGGTTTTTTTCTTTTCTCCCTTTTGTCTCTCGGAGAGAGTTCTCTGCAGCTACAGAGAGGGAGAAGCATGTCTCTCTCTCTCTCCAAGACATCATTCTTCATTTTCTGTAAGTAGGGTAAAGTTTAGGTAGTTTCGTTAGGTTTTATTGTGTTATGGATTGGGTATGGGATCTGAGATCTGGCACTGCTTAAAAGATGTTTTAGCTTTTCTTTGTAACTAAGTTCTAGGCCCATGGAGTTTCTCCATGAGTATATTTTGTTACCTTCCTCTCTAGTCATTATACTTGCAACCAGAATATTGTTGTAATAATAAAAGTTCTTTCTTTTCTTTTATTAACCTGGCAGTGGTTAATGGTGTGCCCTGATTTTTGTTTTAGGGGGAAGATTTCCCAAATGATCTTTCCCCTGGTTTCTTTAGCAACATTTGGGTGGTGGCAGCGGAAGTTTTATTCCCAAGATCTAGGTTTTTAAGATCTTGGGGGAAGTTTTATACCAAAGCCTGGTAGATAAGGCTTTGGGGTACACTTGCTGGCCCCCACTTCTGCATTTATCATGCCAGAGTGGGGAAGGAGCCATGACAAGGGGAAAGCACCAAGGGACAGGGTAGAGGAGAGGCAAATGCCAGGGGGCCAAGTGGAGACAATGAGGAAAAGGGCAGGAGGGGAGGTGTCAGTGGGAGGGGGGACAGAGTAATGCTGGGAGAGGAGAGTAAGGGCATTGGTGGTTAGAGAGGGGAAGAGGGAGGTGCTGGGAGACTTGAAAGGAGGGGTGGGCAAGAGAAAGGTGGGGATGGAGCAAGGCGTGTGTGAGGGCACAGGGGCATGAGTGGAATGGGGGCAGAGGGTGGTGAGGGGGTGGGCATCAGGGAAAAAGGGGGCAAGGGCAGTGAGGGAAGGGGGAGGCACCAGGAGGGTGCAGAGCTAAAGGAAGGTGCAGGTGCCAGGGGATTCTGGGGTGAAGCAGAAGGGAAGACACCTGCAGGGGAGGGACCAGCACCAGAGGAGAGAGGCAGGGCAGGTGTGTAGAGGGAG